CGATGTTCATCTGTGTTTTTGAGTATTTACTTTTAAATTAAGGAACTGATTAATATATAGTACTAAAATTTGAATTATAATCTACAGTTTGAAACCAGACTAACTGACATAAATTCATAAAATAGTAATTCAATAAAATTTTTAATACAAGTCAACAAATGTGATAACATGACCAGTGACATTTTTGGTTAACAATAATTATCCATATTTCACCTCCTTTAACCCTGTCAACCACCCCACGTGCAAAGATTCATGAATTTCCGCAGCGGATCATTCAAAACGTTGCTTATATCACAAGATATCAACTGCAGTTGAGGGGTTTAAACAGTGTTCATAATTAATAATACCCAACTAAATATTAGCTATACATAATGATTGCACATTTTCAAACATGATACTTTAACTATTAAAAATTTATAAACAAGAAGCTATCTTCCCATAAACAGACAAGACTGACAAGAGAAGGTAGGTACCTTGGGGGGCCTTCAAAAATGAGCTATACAAGGGGAGAAATCATGCTGTGGGAGGCTTAAAAATTTACCCCAGAGCCTGTCTAGGCCTCAGCAACCCCGTAGAAAGATAATCATACATTCACACCATAAAATAATTTGATCAGTTTGGCAAACTCCTTAATAAACAAAGTGAGACTGGCCGACATTCCAAGTCAAATATTTTGTTACCCAGTAACTTGCTAGACAAAAATATCTTACCTTCATATCATTCTCAAGCTTAGCTTGCCACTCTGGATCCATAGAAACTTCTGGAGGAGCAAGAGCTGGCATTGCAACAAACTCAAGGTTGGGATCACCGATCAGCTTCCTTGCTAACCAGAGGAACGGCTTTTCAAAATTGTAGTTGCTCTTTGCACTGATGTCATAGTACTGTGAGAAATGACATTATGAAATACTTTTAAAAGGTGAGCATATAAATACTCAAATAATTTTCAACAAAAATTGTCAAAATTTTCTATCTGAGAGCAAAAATAATATGTTTGATATACATGCCAATAACTACACATAATTTATATTATCTTTGGTTAATATTAGATTCTGAGTCAAGATACAATAAGGTTTGCAAACAAATAACCTCTTTCAATCAGAGGCAACTTCTTGTATCAGTTGTGAATTAACATGAAACTTTGGAAATGAAATATTTAGATCATTTATATATATTTATAAACATTTCTTCACAATACCTAACTAAGATCCAGAATTTTGAAATGACCAGTAGCATAAGGCTGAGTATGTTATATAAAAACTATTTTGGGTTCACCAGATTGTTAGAATTCATGTAGCCACATCTGGTCAGAGCAAGTGGATCTGTAGTAAGAATGTCATGTCCAAATCAACCCACTGTTCCCTTCTGCTTTTCATAATCCATATGGTTTAAGAAGATGATCGTTTCCTGATGCCAGTTTCACTAGTCTGATTGCACAGAACTCAGTAGATGTTGCATCTGATGACTTGTCTGGTATATCTTTATATGAAATAATATGAATATCTGTGTCACTCTCCAGCTGCCTGAGTCATGCAACTGTTAAATGGGGAAAGGAACATGAGTCTCATTTCTATACAAGATCTGTATTTATATGTGGAATAAAGAGTCCAGAACATTGGTCTGATAGAATCCATCTACGACTTTGTATACACTGGCGTTTT